TATTATTAATTATTCTTATTATATATTATTATATTATTATATATTATTAATTATTATTAATAAATTATAATCTCAATAACCGAGAATGTAGAACATCAAATAAAATATTATACCTGATAACTTGCAGTAATCTGACATAAATTACTATACTCGAACAACGCTACTTGAGGATACTAATATCAAGTAGTATCGTCGAGTCATCGATGACTATAGCAATTTGTATCATGTTACAAAAATTTGAGATATTCAATTCTATATATTTCATATCATTCCTGACCATTAGCAACCAAATTAGAATTAGAATCACAATCAGAAGTTCGAAAGTCAGGCAATGTAGAACGTAAATTTTTACGGCCCACGATGTTCAATGATCCAGTTAAAGGTCAAATATCGACGAACCGAAACATGTATCGAGACAAGATTCCGCCGATGGATTCATGGTGGTCATCACGCTCCATTTCTTGGCCAATTGCTTTCGATGATCGACTATGGCGAGCTCAGCGCCAAAAATAATTGCCAGACCTCTGCGTTCGCAAGGCAGAAGGCGAAACGAGGACGTTTCTTCCTCTTCATCTTCGTGTGTACGTTTTACAGCTGCTGTGCTTCCCTTGCGAAATCATCTACTTGCTTTCATTGTGTTTTATTCTCGCGTATCGAGTGCCTATGGAACGGTGCAACAATAAGCTCGAAGAGAAGGTGAGATAATTATTTTTTTCCGATTTCCACGTGGGAAAATTATTTCGATGTACATTGGTCCCTTTGTCATTTCATTTAGTCTTCTTGGCCCTTCTCTTAAATGCAAGGAATAAACTTTATGGTTGAAATTTGTATTCTTTAGAAAAAATTTTTTTATGTTACATTGTATTACATGTTATTATTTATGTTTATTTATTTGCTCGATTCTTCTACCAAGTTTCGCAATGTATTTGCTTAAATGAGTAACTTGCGAAATTTAGTTATCAAAATTTATATATATATATATATTTTTTATCATATTACGCTTTATAAAGAAGATTTATATATTACGTTACGAAACGTGTTATCGAGTAGAATATTTCTTCGATTAAAATGAACAGTTTCTTGAAATGTTCCTCTTCTTTTTTTAAATTTATTTCATGTAACGAATGATTCTTGTGCTATATTTGGTTAAAGAGATTATTTGTGGAATATCATTGTTGAAATTTATATTTTCATTTGTCTTGGATTGAATTCAACAAATTATTTCGTACTGTGCCGTATGTAATTAATTATTTTTTTTATTTATCTCTTATTTAATCAATTAAATTTTTATTTAATTCACGATTATACGTACTTTGTGTTCTCGAAATAATATTTTCGTTTGATCGTTTTGAATTTATTAGTGAAAAATCGTGCGTTGAAAGATTCGTTATTGTACCGTAACCCAGTTGCAAAGAGAGTTTTGTGTCGTAAGAACGTTCTGCGCGTCAAAATTTCAACACGTAGGTTGCGATGACGATCATCCGCATTTCCTGTGACTGCTCTTTCTATTAACATTTTGGCTGGAAGCCAGCCTTGTGATCTGCGCTCAAATTTCTCCGCGATGTCATTAACGCGAGTTCATTTTTATCATCTTGTTTACAAACAAGACGATAATAATTGCTACGAGCAATTAGTTACGTTGCGAGCCACATGTTCGTGTCATACGACCAGCAAGTAAAAAAAGAAATATTTTTAACCTCTATTATTTATAACGTTTAAATTGATTTACAAAATTTATTTAAATATTTTAATAAATTTTTACTTATATTTTATTTTACCTTTTATTTTATAAGTGAAATATATTAAATATTTTAATAATTATTACTTATTAAAGCAGTTGTAGTTACAAATTTCAATGTAACAAATTAAACAGACGTTGTCTAATCAGAAACAGCAAATTTTATTTTGTGTTTCAATCCTTGTAAAATATTTTGAAATATATTCCGGAGCAGTGAGTCCTAGAATGTTGGCATTTCAAGCAGTTCAAGTTAATCGAACTCTTTCTTCACAACGTAAGCGATAAATATAGGCGGACTTGCTTCATGAATTCAAAAAAATGTAACTCGATCGCAGAGTTAACATCCACTGCACCATTAATTAACGTCACCGCTCCAGAATACGTCTTAAAATGTTTTATATTCAACGAATATAAAAGAATATTACATATCTATTACATAATGTTTATATTACATATATATTACAATATATTTACATATATATTACATTATATATTACATAAAATATAAAAGAAACAAAACGAATATAGAAAAATATTACATATATATTACATGTATATTACATTATATATTACACAAAATATAAAAGAAATAAAACGAACATAAAAGAATATTACAACGTCTAACGTCTTGATAAATATCTATAAATATCTAACTTAGGATTCATTCAGTGATCCAAAAATAAATGTACATCTGTTCAAAATTCAACTTTCAATCGATCGGTCGAATTTAGCTTCGAAACGATTGATGAAAGGAAAATTCGTAAAACTGGCCGAATAGAATTTAACTGCTTATAAATGCGGTGCATGTTATTTTCATTCAAGGATGCTGCGGTATTATACGGTGATGCTGTTGCGGCAACAGTTTTCGCAACGGCAGTTGTAATTGTAACTGTGATGGATAATAATACGATTATGCTCCTAATACGCGGTCTCATTGATCGTTGCAAGCTCTATGATTATTGCATTTCACTATTGGTCTCCCGTCGTTGTATACGATTAAAAATTAATTGACTAATGAGTCATCGTCAATGATGTCAACGTTAGCGATGACATTTATGTCAACGAGAAGCGAGACACTTGTTTGTCATGATTCACGCGAGACGTGACAGTGTTCTAAATATGAAAATATTTTCATACACTGACTGTGAGTTGATCTTGGTCGATCGTTTATTTTTTTATCCAGAACATTCTCGTTGTTTCAGATGATTTGTACTCTAGTAACGTAAAGAGTATGTCAGGTAGAGTGTGAAAAATGTTCACGATGAAATTGGAGCAATTTTCTTGGCGACGTTTCGTGACAAATCGAGTGGTGAAAAAATTGATTTGTCACCGTTGGTTGCGCCCCATATTCATGGGATCAGAAATGTTCTCAACACTTATTGTTAGTAATTCATCGTTTTAATTCTGTCATTCTGTCATAAAAGTTTAAAATTATTAATATCTGGCTCGTTGATAATTTTTTTAATCTTTCGAAAGTAACACGATAATTATTATTAGAACGTGTGCTTTTATAATAAAATGTTAAATTGTGTCACGGTGTTCCGCGCAGTCTATACTTATGCATGTAAAGTGTTACGAGAAGCAGCCTTTGTATGTTAATTATTTATTAGCATATATCATTGACCATGAAAATTCGTTACAAATTTTCACTTCAATTTTTACATTATCTCTAAAGTACTGAATGCACAGTTATCTTCTGACTACAAATATACAAATCGTTAAAAATTAAATAAAATAAATACAAGATTTATCTCTTAAGTACAAACGTTCAAATCGTTCAATTTCCTTCAATATCTACGTAAAACTGAGACCGATTTTTCTCAAACTTTCTCCCATCACGAACGTAACGGTGCAACGGTTCATTAACGCCGCGTCGCGTAATTTTGTCTCTCAGGTTAATACGAAAGGGTTGTCGTGCATTATATGCGGAAGGCAAGATTTACGAACCGATAGGTGCAAATGCGAGGGAGACGAGAAAATTTATACGCGGTGCCTTAAGATTCGATCCGCGCCGGCCGCGATATTGTATTCAAATGACGATCGTGACCCCACGCGTGACCTCTCGCGTGATTACGAAACTACCTTAAAATTTTTTTTTTAATTTTAAAACGCTCCTCCTCCGGCGCATAATTAATTTCTCTCCTCGTTTTCTTGCCTCGCTCCGTCACACAGGGACTCAGTATGGGATAGTTCGTTTTTCTTTCCATCCGATAACCAATCTGTGTCGTGTCAATTAAGCGAAGCGTTCAAGAATTTTACGAGAATTTTATTCTTGGAAAATTATTTTCACTTGTTTCCATTTTTATATTTAACCTCGAGAAATTCGTATCGACTCGCGTATACGCTATCGATTATAAATTACATCGGTGTATTTATTGGAAAAATCTGACAAATTTTATAGTATTTGTTTTATGTCTACATTTAGTATTTAGTACTATATTTATATTTAATTATATTACTACATTTCCAACTAACAATATACCACGCAAGTGATAGTACTTGACACATAAGGTTAAATTCAAGTATTAGTATATTACTTGATGTATAATATTATACATAACTGATACAATATTACTTTTCACTATTAACTCATCATTTATACACTTTGAAAAAGTTCAAACTTACTGCAAATTAATCAAAATGCCCAGATAGCCTTATGGAACCGTAGTGTAACTGAATATGTATTTCTTTATCATTTTACGTTATACTTGTTACATTTAAATTATACTTATAATTGTTTTATTTGCTATTTATGTATTATTTTATATCATAGATTATATTTATGTTATTTATAAAATAATATATATTTATATTATTTTATGTTATACATTATATTTCATTATACATTGTTATAATATTCTACAATATTATGCTTCAGCATACGTTATATTATTTATAATATTATAATATTGTGTTTTTTAAATTTTACAATATTGTTATATTATTTATAATATTATAGTATTATTATATTATTCACAATATTATATTATATATATTGTGTATTATAATATTGCGTTTTTCAAATTTTATAATATTGTTTAATAGTATAATATTGTTATATTATTTATAATATTATAATATTGTATATTATATACAATATTGTATTATATATATTGTCTATTATAATATTGTGAATTTTGAATTTTATAATCTTGTTTAAATATTATAATATTGTAAATTTAAAAAATTTTATAATATTAATATGTATAATATTGTGTTTTTCAAATTTCCTCCTCTGACGTGTCCTTTCCTCTGTTTTCAGACGAGCACCGAGAGTCGAGAGGCGGAAGAACAGGGTAGCAGCACGACCTCGCCCTCGGAGGGCAGGCACGCCGACGAGACGTCCGGCTCGTCCGTCCTTGAGATGGGCAGCACGGATTCGGCGGGCAGCGCCCACAGCGGCGGCCCTTCCTGCGGCCTGGTCAGCTCACTTTTCCCGAGCAGCTGTCGTGGCCGGGCCGAGGCATTCGCCAGACGTCTTCACCGACGACTAACCTCTCTCGGCGGCGAAGAGAATTCCAAGCAGAACGAGGACTCGTCGTTGCCGAAAGAAACATCCTGGTTACGTTCCACCACGGCAGCGAAAGCAATGATGAACAACACGTCGAACAATCACGTCCTCCAACATCAACCGCGTCACAATCCCGACACAGACTTGTGCTACGACTTCGATCTCGAGTACGAGGACGGCCTTAGCTCGCCGGCGGAAGAAGCAACGGCCGCTGAGGTGGCGGATTTAGTCGTCAACTCCGAGGTACTCAAGTCGAATCATCGCGAGGTTCGTCACAGTTCGCCAAACGGTTCGAAGGCCATGCTCTCCAGTATAGATTCCGAGTCTGGATACGTTTACGCGTCCCCTCTGTTGGGCACGTCTCCAGACAGCGATTCGTCCGACATATTTTTCGACCCGGAGTCGTCCGACGTAGAGAAACCGAAGAACGAGGTGTTTTTCGACCCGGTGACCACGTCGGACAGCGAGGTGACCACGTCGAATCTCTCCAACGGTTGCGACACGATGAAAGCCAAGAGCAACACGTTGTACCGTAGAAGGACGCCGGAGATCAGCGTCGAACATTCCGAGGACACGTCCGAGTCGAGCGCATCGTTCAGAAGGAACAACTTTTGCGACAAGGGCCCGAGGAAGGACGATTTGGTATGCAGTTCGGAGGACTCGCAGGAGACGACCACGTCGCCTAGTCACGAGTCACTTTGGAGCACGTTCGACGAGAGCACCATGTCCCTGCAGGACGAAAGTCCCTCCAACGTGAATCCCAACCTGACGATTCAGAACCGGCTGTCTAAATCGCATTCCGACTCCGAGATACCCGTCCACGGGCCGAAGATAACGATCACGTGCGACCCGAGCGACGAAAGAACAGGCATCGACGACGTTGACTTCGTGAACGGTCGTCTGTCGGAGAACGAAGACGAGCTGGAGGACATCAGGAACGCGAGGAACCTCGTGAAGGAAGACTCGCCGGATTCTTCGGACAACACGTTCGAGGAGGACCTGCCGTACGACGAGGAGAAACCCAAGGATATACTGGAGCAGACGAATATTCTGAAAACGGAGGAGAACGCTGGCAACGATACCGACGACCACTCGACGTACAGTAGCATGATCAGCATCCCCGGTGCCCTGACACTGGAGTGTCCTACGGGCGAGCGAGTGGTAGAGGTGACGATGAAGAACGAGATAGAACTGCAGATCGAGAATGGAACGGTAATAAACAGCAGCGACGAGGACAAGATGTGTCTACTGTTGAAGAAGCTCGCCACGAGTCCGACGGTGAAGGACGACCCGCATCTGCCGCAGAAGCCGCAGGACGACAGCATCGAGGAGGAGGAGGAGGAGGAGGAGGAGGAGGAGGAGGAAAGACCTCAGAAGATCAGACGATGCTCCTCGTTGAAAACCGGCAAAACGCCGCCAGGTACACCCGGAAGGAAGAAGATCGTACGATTCGCGGATGTTCTAGGCCTAGATCTCGCCGATGTGCGAACGTTCTTGGACGAGATCCCGAAGATCCCCAACTCAGCCTACAGCGATCTGATCTACGACGACATATTCCAGAAGGACACCAGCCCTGTGAGCACCTCGCCGAACACCACTCAATGGGGGGCCCGGTACATGGATAACCGACGTGGATCGGGCTTCCCTCTACCCTCCCGCAAGATAGACAGAACTCTGGTGCCTCTGTTCGAACAGCCTGGCGGTCAGCCTAACTTCCTGGACCTTGTCCGCGAGCGTCGAGTGTGCTTGGAGAACGTGCTCGTCCAGGACCCGCTCACGCTCTGCATTCACGGCACGGTCCGCGTGATCAACCTGGACTTCCACAAGTCGGTGCACATCAGATACACGTTGAACTCGTGGCGGAACTTCAGCGACCTGCAGGCCATCTACGTGCCGAATTCGTGCGACGGTTTCAGCGACAAATTCTCGTTCGTGCTCTACTGTCACACGCTTCCCGTCGGCCAGAGGCTGGAGTTCGCCGTACGGTTTCAGTGCAAGGGCGAACAGTACTGGGACAACAACGCCGGGGCCAATTACTGCTTCCAGTGTTTGCCAGCCTCGTCCACCGTCGGCTACATACCGATCACGGCCCAAGAGAACCAGCAACACGAGTGGTCGCCTGTGTTCTACTGATGGACACCACGGTTCGAGCACTGGATACCCGGGACAAAGATACGGCGATGCTTCGCGCAGACAAGGTGTCTAAAGTGGATCCGAATAATGGCTAACAAGCGACAGATAGATAGATAGATAGAGAAAGAGAGAGAGAGAGAGAGAGAGAGAGCCTACGGTTGTATAAACGTTCCTAGAGTATATATGCCGTGCTGTACATAACTGTCCTATTCTCGAGTGGCTCGAAGGAACGAGAGGAGAGAGAGAGAGGCAGATCGAGGAGCAGGGATCGCACCGGCGTCAATTATTCTTTCCTGCCGTTTTCCGGACAGCCTTTCAGTGGACTGGAGAAACTCGACGCACCTGTTAGACTGATATTTTTTACACGTTCGTTGTTCCTTGTTTGCGAGCGAGAAATACGTATTCGGGATTGACGCGACGTCGCTTCTTCGAACGAGCCGGGACTGTGGGGTCGACAAAGATGTCATTAAATACGCATAGCTCTTCGAAGATGGGAAAAGGAGGTGATTTGGAAGAACGGAGCCTGGGTGCTTTGGAAGCCGAGAAAGATACTTGAAAGGCGACGGATCGGTGATGGACTGTTCGCGAGAGCAATGGAGGATTATTTTTCACGTTCCTAGAAAGTACCTAATTTTTGCAGAGTTTGCACGATAATCGAGCCTAATGTGAATCTGAGGAAACTCTCAAACTGATTACAACGCGCGATCGGCGGAGGCTGAAGAGATTTTTATTCGACGTATGATAAAGGGGCTCTAGGATTGTATTGATACTGAAATCGAAGGCTCCTTTTTATCTTGTTTTTTTTTTTTTTTTTTTTTTTTTTTTTTTTTTTTAATTTCATTTTAAACGTTTAACGTACGTTTTACGAAAATTGCACGAACATGTTCTCGGATCGATCAAGGTCGAAACGACCCTGTCGATGAACTTTTTATCTACGAACATATCTGCTCAGCAATTCCTGGGCTACGACCAATCTGGTCCTTCTTACGAAACTTCGCTTCGTTTAACACATTCGCTGCTATGTTACGTCACGCAAACGTTAAGTAAGTCATTGAGTTCGTGCGTCGCGCGTCGAGAGTTTGAACGAACTTTCAGGAAAAAGAGAAAAAAGAAAATGAAAACAGTGAGCAATGTGAATTGCGATGAACTCTGTAGAACAAAGAAAGAAAAAAAGAAAAATGGAGGCTTTATGAAGGAGTTTATTTGAATAGCAACGAATGTGTTAACTCACCGACACGACTTGTCCGTATTCTTAGCCCCATAGATGGTACGAATATCGTAACGAACCAATAAGTTGGACACTTTGAAGCGAGACACTTTTCTATTTGTTTAAATCAAAATGTTCGACCAGTGCCAATCTGACCTAGTGCCATCGGACGTGTTACACCAGAAACTATTAATAACGAGTCAGATGTACGTAACACCATGTTCGTAACATAGATTTTTTTTTTTTTTAAACGAAATGTGATAGCCCATGAGCAACGAGCTGCTTTGTTTCACCGATTCTAAATAATAATCGCCGTATGACGGTGGCAAGTCAGGGAAATCGAGGCCTGATTAGATTAATCGCCAACACCTATGTAGATTCCCAAGGCAGTGATAGTAATTCGATTATTCACGGTTTTAGTTTGATTACGCACGTTAGGGTGCCAGGAACGCAACGGAATGTTACGAGATCGATGATTTGGTTCATTTGTTAATTGAAATCTGGTTTTCGAACTCTGGATCACCACTCAGTTAGAAAGTTTCACATTGTTTAATTTATTTCTTCGACTGTTTGCGATATATAATATTCAATTTAATTTCTACTCGCGCAGTATCAAGTTTTCATTGCGAACGACACACAACAATAGATAGTTTTAGATCCTGACAGTGAAGCAAAACAAGTTTCAATTGGATTAAGATCGAAAACTCCTCGATAAGAAGGTACACAGTAGTATCTAGCTTGTTGGAAAATTATTAATTTACGAAAGAAGTTAAGCAAACACAGATGATTATAACGCAAACGAAAACTGTTTAATGTTCAACACTCAAACTGAAGATACTGATACTCAACGCCAACTTTAAATTATCTTTCATTATCCTATATATCACACTTCGCAAACTTTAATATTCTTAAACTTGGGTATTATTATGAATTTCATTTAATACACAATGTTATATTTAATGTCAATTTAATTATTATCGACGAAGCTTCTTCAACAAATTCCATCGTTCGTTCCTGCGCATCCTGGCATAAAAACGAACCATTTGCCTTCACGTGGGATAACGAAAGCAGTCGGTCAGTGCAATCCAAGTTACCAGTTAAAGAGAGCATCTTGGCAACGATCGGGATTTTACGTGAGTCACAATGATGTTTCACAAGTGTCAAAAAGGAGGCAACATTGTCCTACTGTCACCAAGATTGCATCAGGCAGTGCGGTCGGTTTTTCTTCGTTCGAAACGATGAGCGACACGTTTATCAACGAGATTCGCGATTAAACTCGGTTGCTGTATTGCCTGAACGACACTTACCACGGTTGAAGACGAACCAATTAACCGACCTGATGCACCCCCGTGAGTGATAATCGTAGACAAAGGGAAATAATAGAGCGGTAGATTGCACTCGTAGACCTCGAGATCACGAGACGACATAGTATTTCACGACAACACGATATTTTTGGTATAATGTTCGACGCGTTTCTTTCCTAACTCCGATCGTTACTGTGTATTTTGCACGTGTTACGTGAGAGTACATAACGACACGTTGTTACCTAACACACGCACACACACACACACACACACACACACACACACATACATACACCACTGATGTATAAATACATCTTTTACATTTTGCAATTCAAATATTGTCTTTTCTTATTTTCTTCGTTGTACACGCAGTGATTTTTCTAAAGTGTAATTTTAGATCGAGAAAGAGGGAATTTTATATATGTACATATAAAACAAAAACAAAGAATAAAAAGACTTTTATACAATATTTTTTATATAAGTTGTAGGTACGAGTAGGTAATTAACTGAAGACTAGATTGTGGATTCTTGTGTATTTTCATTGGGTCAGAAAATTGCGCGAAAAATACGCAGAGTTCGAGGTTGCGACAAGTCGCCCATTTGTTTTTGAGATTCAATTCACGATAAACTACGAATCACGAATCAAATATTCGCAATCTAGTTAAACAACGTTACACGTAACACAGGCAAAATATATCATACATACCGTTGAAAGTGTCAATAGTGGTCCAGTAGTTACAACAATATAACGTCGAACAGAGGGAACGTACGAAACGATGTTAAGATTACGCTGTATGATAATTCTTAAGATATTTTTTGTAACGATTTTCATCAAGTGACAACAAGTGCTTTCTACATACGATACACGATAGTGAAACGTAAACGCGATACAAATTGTACATAGGCGGCGTCAGTATTGGTGGGCAAGTGTGTCTCGAGAACGGGGGGATCTATTTCTTCTTCTTCTTCTTCTTCTTCTTCTTCTTCTGTTTTTTTCTTTTTGTTTCGTTTAGTACGAATCGATCAATGTTTCTTTAATTGTACATTATGATACACAGCCTGTTCGAACACATCGGTGTTCGTTACACGCGACTTTTTTTTTTTTTATTGTACATATCATCGATACATTTTACACAATGATATATTTACACGGCGATTATAAACGAGTTCTCTAGTTCTCGGTATTTTATTTCTTGTTCTTTTTTTTTTTCTTTTTTTTATATATACATATATATACACACGATCGATATCGATCTTTTCTAATTTTATATTGAACGCAAGGCAGATATCGTTGCATTGCTATTTTACTCGCTTTATTCGTAATCGTATCGTTAACCTGGGGACACAGAATACTTATTAGCCGATCTATATTCACGTATACTTGGCCTTGTCGCTGTACACTTCTGCGAGCTATTAATTTTGAAGAAAGACGTCGGAGAAATAATTATACATAACGTTTCGTAAATACGGAGTAGTGCTTCTTGCAGAGAAGATTTTCCTTCTTTCTCTTTTTTTTTTCTTTTTTTTTTTTTTAAACGCGTTTTACTTGTACATTGTAGGTTTTAATAATGCTGTACTCTCTTTCTTCTTTTTTTAATTGTTTTAAACTTAGGCGCATCGTAACCACCATTATTGAGGCCCTCGATATTTACACGTACATTACACACACACACACACACACACACACATACACACATAATGAAAGCCTTTCCTATAGTTTATCCCCCTGTATATATATATATATGCCTCTTAAGAAACGAAGTTCGAATTCTATTCTGGTTAATGACAGAAACGATATTCTTCCACGTGTTAAGAATGATGGTTATTGAGATTTATGGAAACGGTTATATTGTACGAGTCACGAGTTAAGATGTTTTTTAATTACGTTACGAAGAATCCAGCCTGATGCGCGAAATATTTCATCAACTTTATTGTGGAGATGCTCTCGCATCGGCGAGGAGAACAATTTTATATTTCTTTTGACAGCCTTCTCTCAATGTAGTTTAATATCATCGGTGAATTTTCATCGTCAGGATTCAAATAGTTTGTAAAAAAAAAACATCATCTTTTATAAATATTTAACGGAAGGAGTCGATCGTCTTCGGTAATTAGAATTTTAACATTTCCATTCGCGAAGGGGCACAAATTGGTCAGAAGACGATGAAACGAGGGAGAAATGCACAAAAATGTAGGAGAGCTAACAGAAGAGAGGGACGAAATGAGGTCTACTGCCAGACACGCTTTGTGTTCAACCAGAAAGAAACTTTGTCTCTCTGATTTTCATTTCGCAGATGCATCATTTCGAGGCATTAGTTTTAACAAAGCAATTAGTCGTACCTGTATTAAAAGTTCAAAGCAAAGCGCATAAAGCACTTCACAAAAATTAAGAGAGAAATGTTAAATTGTGGTAATTGCGAGGGAGGCTCTTTCTTCTTAAAAGATACAAGGAGCTGATTAATAGAGTTTCTGAAATGTCTCGTGCATCAGGTTCAGAGAACAAAAGATTCCTCGAAAGCCAATTTATATTATTGTTGAATCTTGCGGAGCACACGTTGCAAATTTCGCGTAGGCGCGGGGTGTCACTCGAAAAATTTCATCCTGTAAATATTCAGAATCTTTGTAAATATTCGGCCACGTTCGTCAGCTTCGAATAAAAACAAGTCGAGCGAAAAGCTATTGCGAAGTATGATCGTGTGACGCCCCGAACGAACCGGAGACTAAACTATTTTTGTTAATCTTCGTTCGTGTTTTGCAAGTAACTGCTATCGTCTCGTTGGTGAGATTCTTCGAAGAACAGCGAGGGCGCAGCTTCACACGAAATGCCTTGTACGTTGTTGTAAAATTCAATTTCCAACGGCAGCTACGAATTCTGCAAGGATCAAACCGACGAAACCGAAACACGCGCGGGAAATCATTGTTGCCGCTTATCTCGGACGTAGAAATGTTTCTGACACATTTCGTGCAAAAGTTTTATTTTTCGTAACACGTAGCAGAGATTCGAGTTGAAATGAATCTTTGCTCGAACGTAAAGTGTATGTTTACACTTTAAATATGAAAGCTTGGATCTTTTCTATTTGGAAAAATTGTCGAGGATTAATAATTATGGATGGATTTTCTTGATAACCAAGATAAATAATTGAAAATAATTCGTTGATGTTCATGAATTTTTCAAATTCTTCAATTGAAT